AAAAAAAAAAAAAAAAAAAAAAAAAAATATTACTGATAACCTTTTTTTTTTTTTTTTAGCACTAAAGATGAACTTAATTCAGATTGTGCGTGACCACTGGGTACATATACTTGTTCCTATGGGATTTGTTGTTGGATGTTATCTAGACAGAAAGAATGATGAAAAGCTAACTGCCTTCCGAAACAAGAGTGTATTATTTAAAAGGTTAGATTGTGCATTTTTTTAAACCCATAATTGGCTGGCTCTTGGAAGTATTCTTAGTATCATATGTGCCAAAAAAAACCAATGGGTAACCCTTTCACCCCCCACCCCACCCCTTTAAATTATACTATTTTGTAGTCTTGTTGTTTCTTTAATTCTTGGATAGAACTGTATGATTACCTTTGGAATGTAAACAAGTCTTTCATTTATGAGCAGGCTATTTCAGATCTTTGAAAGTTGTCACCCCCCAACCCTTTCTAAACATTTTTTTTCAATTCAGGCTGCATTTTAATAATAGGAACAAAAGTTTTAAACTAGCTCACCGAAGTCTACTCTCTATATAACTTTCACTTATATTATCATAACCACTGTCTTACTTAAGCCATGGTATAGCTGAAATAAATGCTACTAATGGTGATGTGGTGCTGTGTTCTTAGCAACACTGCCTAACAGCTTTAGACTTGGTGGTTGAGTGATAAGAAAAGTAATTGTTGAGTGACCATGGCAGCTGCCTTGTCCCATTATCTCTGGAGATGACTCCTTTGGCAGCAGAGGGTTGAGAGTTAGCAGGATAAGGTATTGGTGTATCTGCCACTGTGTGTATAGCTATGTAAGAAGAAGCTCAAGGGACAAGAGACTTGAGTACCAGCTACAGGCAGTAAAGGAGGTTTATAGTCAGGGGTTTCAAGAAAGATAGTATGAGCTGGAAAAGGTTTAGAAAACATTAAATGAACTCATTAAGAGGATAGTATCTTTCATATAGAGTAAGAAATTATAGTTCTTTATTCTGGAAAAATGAGGAGATGGTAAATGTTTGAAATGAGAATAGGATGAGTATATTGAATTTAATACAACAATTTTTAGTGAATCAGTTTAATAGAATATAAAATACTGAATTCATATTATTCTAACCTTGTTTTCATCCCCTCAGAAAAATTGAATTCACTCTCCTTTACTTCCTTTTTTCCTTTCCACACAGGGAATTGAGACCCAATGAAGAAGTCACCTGGAAGTAAAGGCTGTGATTAAATTGCAGAATGTTCACATTTTTTAAATTATGAGAGAAATAAAAACATACTCATTAATTTGAAGTGTGATTCTTTTTATGCTGAAGTAATATTTCACATCAAGTAACAGACACACTTAGCTGAAAAAATACTTATTGGGTACCTGATTGTGTACAGTTATGTTAAATTTACAATTAGCATTTAGTTGTTTTTTTTTTTCTTATTTCAGAACACAATTCTATTAAGTCATATAGACAATTTTTTCCTCTACCTTTTTTGGAAAAATTTCAAACCATGTGCTTCAAAGGAGCTTTAAAAGGGTAACAATTTTAATGACCTTGGGTTTGACTAAGATTTCTTAAATATAACACAAAGCATGAACTAGTTTTAAAAATCAAATTGTACCTTACTGAAATTAAAAACTTTGGCTTTTCAAAAAAATGGTTAAGAAAGTGAAAATGCAGCCCCAGACTGGGAGAAAATATTTGCAATACATATACACAACAAAGAACTTGCATCTAGAATGTGTAAAGAACTCTTAATAAGACAACCCAAATTTTTAAATGAGCAAAAAAGGTTTTAATAGTTGACCAAGAAAGATACAAGGATGGCAAATAAACACATGAAAAGATGTTCAACATCAGTAGTCATTAGGAAAGTACAAATTAAAACCACAATGAATACCACTACACTCCTATTAAAAATGGTTAAAATTTAAAAGACTGATCTTACCAAGTGTTGACAAGGGTATAGAGCAACTGGAACTCACTGTTGGCAGGAATGTAAAGTAGCTACCATTTGTACTACTTTGGAAATGAGTTTAGCAGAGGCAAGGTACACATTCTACTCTAAAGTATTTATCCAAGAGAAATGAAAGCATGTGTTCACACAAAGACTTCCACATGAATGTTCATAGCAGTTGTATTTATAATAGGAAAAGTAGAGATAACCCAAGTGTATCAACAAATGAGTAAATTGTGTTAAATCCATATACTAGAATACTACTTAGCAATAAAAAGAAATGATGTATTGATACCTTGATGAATTTCAAATTATCTTGAATGAAAAGCCAAAGAACACATACTATATGATTCCATTTATATAAAAGATTAGAAATTGCGAACTATAGTAACAGCAGTTCTGTGGTTGCAATCTCACTTAACAAAATTTCAATGAAGTAAAATACTGGAAAGTTGAGTTACTCAAAATGACTGGACGTCTACTGGAAGTGCATCCAAATGGTCTACTCCAGGAACTCTTTCTTGATTAGCTTAGTAACCTTCAGAATTGTAACTTTTCTGTGTCAATCAGTCAGAATTTATGCATTTATTCACTGCTTTGTACCAACCTTGATGATAAGACTAAGACTCCTCTGACCCTAAAAAGCTCATAGTCTAGCAGCAAAGAAAAGTAAGTCCAGTATGGTGTGATGAATGCATTAATATATAAGCATGGGATGGTGTAAAGGACTTTGCCTCAGAGGACTTCCTGGAAATCAAGGGAAGTAGCTGGTGTGACTAGAGTCTGATGTAACAAGTAGGGGGAATTCAGGAAGACAAAGCTGGTTATGCTTGGTCCAGATCCCAAGGTGCTTTTTAAGCCAGCAATGAGAAGGCAATGAGAAACCACAAAGAATTTTTAGTAGAGTAGGATTTGTGTAATACTTAAAAATCCTCCCAATATAAAGCTCTGTGATGGTAGGACTGTGTGATGGTTATGCCAGTGTCTGACACATAGTAGAACTCTTGGTTAATTGACAGAAAAATGAAATTTGCATTTTGGGAGATAATTGACAGCACTGAGAATTGAACAAAATGAAAGTGGAAACAGACCAATTCAGAGACCCTCCAAATGGACTACACAAGAAACCAAGAGGGCTTGAACTAAGCAGTAGCAATAAAGAAAGGGGAGAGAGGAATGAATACACAGCATTTGAGAACTGCTTGAAAGAAGGTGGAGGTGGAAGCATTGCAGGAAAGAATCAAGAATGATTCCCAGACACCTGGCTTCATTTATTTGAAAGACGTCAACTACCAGATACACAAAAAATAAGATACAGCCTTACCATGAAGACATTCATAGGATACTAGTGGACATCTATGATTAAGCTAACATGATACTGAGTAAAAGGCATCATGTATGACAGAGGAAAGTATGGGAGCTCAGAGAAGAGATGGACTTCTAAATTGGAGAGAAGGGAATGTTTCCTGGAGAGTATGATCATTGAGTTTGCAAGGACAGAACGAGGTATCTTACAAATACCAAGTGGAGTTACCAGAATAAGGAATGCAGCAAATCTAACACCCAAATCACACATAACTTCAGTGACAAAGCCAAAATCAGAATTTGTATTCTGACTCCCAGGCACTGATCTTTTTGCTTTAGGATGCTTGCTATTAGTCACATGCTCAATAGGTTGGAAAGGCCTAATAAAAGATTACAATTAATTTGACATCATTAAATATTGCCAGGCACTGTTCTAGGTGACAAGGATTTAACAGTGAACAGAACAGTGAGGTCCTTTGAGGTAGTGTACATCCTAGTAAGCAATTCATCACTGTAGAGAGTTGAATTATGTCCTTCCAAAAATTAAGTCCACCTAGACCAGAAACCTTATTTGGAAATAGAATCTTTGCCAATGCCATTCAAGTTTTCAATGTGAAATCACCCTAGATTAGGATGAGATGTAAATCCAATCACTGGTATCTTGTAAAAGAGGAGATGACACAGATGTAGAAGGAAGAAGGCCATGATAAAGATAGAAGCAGAGATTGGGGTTACACAGCCAAAAACCAACTAACACTTGGAGCCACCAGCAGCTGGAAGTAAGGAAGAATTATGCCCTAGAGACTTTGGAGCATAGCCCTGCGAACACCTTGGTTTCAGACTTCTGGCCCCAAGATTGCTGAGAGAATAAACTTCTGTTGTTTCAAGCCATGATGTTCATAGTAATTTGCTACAACAGCCCTACGAAATGAATACAATCACATATTTTTTCTGAATAAGTAATACATTGATATAGCCCAAAAATCAAGGAATAAAATGAAAAGTCTCTCCCATCCCTGTCTCTTATTTGCCTAGGTCCCTTCCCATCTCAAACAGGTAATTTCTGGTTTTCCCATATGTTCCTCTAGTAATACACACACACACAAAAAAAAATATGTTTCTCTACAGGGACACACTTTCTTTAAGAAAATAAATCAGAAAAGCTGGTTTCATGTTTTTTCACTTCACAAGGCAATGATTTGTTTCCCCCGTTAGGCCACAGTTAACAGACTTCCGCAGCAGGACTGTGGACTGTGCACGGAGATGTTCAATAAATAGTAACCAAGTCCTCCCGTGGAGCACCTGGCCCTCACTGTCAGTCTCTGTTCTCTTACCTCCTGCTAGCCCTTCCGTTCCTCTGAGTTTGCACTCGCCATTGGGCTCCCGTAACCCAGTTTAGTGGACTCTTGTAAGTCCTTATGTTGCTGGACCTCTTGGCAGCAACTGATCTTGACTGCTCCTTGAAACATTCCCTTCCCAGGACTCCCATAATGTTACTTTCCTGCTTTTCCTCCCTTGTCCTCTACTATTTTCTTTCTACTCTAAAGGTTTTGCACTAGATCCTCTTCTCAATCTCTTGATTTTCCCCTAGATGATTTTATTCACTCCTGTGGTTTCAGTTACCTTTTTTATGCCAACAACTTCCCTTTCTACAGCAAAACCAAGCCTCCTGAACTCCAGGCCATTACTCAATATTCATGAATGTTCATAGCAGTTGTATTTATAATAGGAAAAGTAGAGATAACCCAAGTGTATCAACAAATGAGTAAATTGTGTTAAATCCATATACTAGAATACTACTTAGCAATAAAAAGAAATGATGTATTGATACCTTGATGAATTTCAAATTATCTTGAATGAAAAGCCAAAGAACACATACTATATGATTCCATTTATATAAAAGATTAGAAATTGCGAACTATAGTAACAGCAGTTCTGTGGTTGCAATCTCACTTAACAAAATTTCAATGAAGTAAAATACTGGAAAGTTGAGTTACTCAAAATGACTGGACGTCTACTGGAAGTGCATCCAAATGGTCTACTCCAGGAACTCTTTCTTGATTAGCTTAGTAACCTTCAGAATTGTAACTTTTCTGTGTCAATCAGTCAGAATTTATGCATTTATTCACTGCTTTGTACCAACCTTGATGATAAGACTAAGACTCCTCTGACCCTAAAAAGCTCATAGTCTAGCAGCAAAGAAAAGTAAGTCCAGTATGGTGTGATGAATGCATTAATATATAAGCATGGGATGGTGTAAAGGACTTTGCCTCAGAGGACTTCCTGGAAATCAAGGGAAGTAGCTGGTGTGACTAGAGTCTGATGTAACAAGTAGGGGGAATTCAGGAAGACAAAGCTGGTTATGCTTGGTCCAGATCCCAAGGTGCTTTTTAAGCCAGCAATGAGAAGGCAATGAGAAACCACAAAGAATTTTTAGTAGAGTAGGATTTGTGTAATACTTAAAAATCCTCCCAATATAAAGCTCTGTGATGGTAGGACTGTGTGATGGTTATGCCAGTGTCTGACACATAGTAGAACTCTTGGTTAATTGACAGAAAAATGAAATTTGCATTTTGGGAGATAATTGACAGCACTGGGAATTGAACAAAATGAAAGTGGAAACAGACCAATTCAGAGACCCTCCAAATGGACTACACAAGAAACCAAGAGGGCTTGAACTAAGCAGTAGCAATAAAGAAAGGGGAGAGAGGAATGAATACACAGCATTTGAGAACTGCTTGAAAGAAGGTGGAGGTGGAAGCATTGCAGGAAAGAATCAAGAATGATTCCCAGACACCTGGCTTCATTTATTTGAAAGACGTCAACTACCAGATACACAAAAAATAAGATACAGCCTTACCATGAAGACATTCATAGGATACTAGTGGACATCTATGATTAAGCTAACATGATACTGAGTAAAAGGCATCATGTATGACAGAGGAAAGTATGGGAGCTCAGAG